TATACCATCTTCTTTATTCACTTTTCTATTGCCAAATAATAGTTAGTTATTAGGATACCACCATATTGTATTTTTCCATTTATCAGTTAATGGGCATTTGGGCTGTTTCCCTTTGGCTATTATGAATAACATTGCTGTGAACATTCATGTTAAATTTTAGTATGGAAATACATTTTTTATTTCTCTTGAGTATGTATCTAAAAGTAGGTCTGCTGGGTCATATGTTATTTCTATATTTAATATTTTTATTAATTGCCAAAGTCTTTATAGGAGCAGCTGTACCAGATTATATTTCAGATAACAATTCACATGAGTTCCAGTTTCTTCACATTCACACAGTTATTCTTCTCAGCTTTTTTAAAATTGTAATCATCCTAGGAAGTGTTAAGTGGTATCTAATGGGGAGTTTTGATTTGCTTTTCTCTAATGTACAATATGTTGACTTATCTTTTTCTGCGCTTATCTATTCAGATTCTTGTTGGATTTTTAAGATGAGCAATTTATCATATTATTATTGAATTGAAATTTTCTTTATATTCTAGATAAAATAAGACAAGATTTACAAAAATTCCCTCCTTATCTATTGTCTTTTTACTTTATTGATGGTGTCCCCTACAGTGCAAAATTTATTAATATTGATGAAGTTCAATTTTTTCTTTTTCTTTCTTATATGTGTGTTTTATATGTGTGTTTGTTCTGTAAAAACTATTATCTAAATCAGTGTCACAAAGATTTATTTGTATGTTTTCTTTTTAAAGGACTTTATAATTTTATAATTTAGCTCTTGTTTTTAGGACTCTTAGTCATTTTGAGTGGATTTTTGTGTGTGGTGTGAAGTAGGAATTCAATTCTATTCTTCTGCACATCCTTATCTATTTTTTCCCAGCATCATACATTTAATAGTTTATTTTTGGATTTTCAATTCTATCCCATTGATATGCATTTTGTATTTATGCCTGTATTATATGTATGTGTGCATATCTGTGTGTGTACATGAGCATGCACGTGCATGTGTGTTTTGCCATACTGGGAATTTAAATCAGGGCCTTGTACATGCTAGGCAAGTGCACAACCACTAAGACCTTTTTCAAATTTTATTTTGAGACATGGACTTGCTAAGTTGCCAAGGCTGGCCTTATAGTGCTCCTCCTCAGCCTCCTGAGTAGCTGGATAAAATTAATTGCATGTGTGTATCAGTGTGTCCAACTTATATGTGTTTATTATTATAACTTTGAAGTAATATTTGAAATTAAGACTAATGCTTGAAATTAAAATGTCTGAGTCCTCCAACTTGATTCCTCTTTTAAATATTGTTTTGGCTATATGAATCTCCTTGTAATTATTTATGAATTTTAGCACTAACTTGTCAATTTCTGAAAAGAGTTCTCATTAAGTTTCTGGTAGGGATTACATTGTATCTGTAGATCAAATTTGTCAATACTTCTACCAATATTAATTCTTCCTACATGAAAAGAAGATATCTCAATTTATTTATATTGTCTTTAATTTTCTTCCAACATTATTTTAGTTTTTAGGATGCACGTTTTGTACTTCTTTCCTTCAATCATGTCTTAAAAGTTTGGGCTGGGGATGTAGCTTAGTTAGTAGAGTGCTTGCCTTGCATGCACAAGGCCCTGGGTTCAATTCCTAGTACCACACACACATAAAAAAATACTCAATTGATTTAATTTTTTGTAGCACTGGGGTTCTATGCATGCTAGGCAAATCCTCATTGCTGAGTCCAATGATTTTATTTTTGTTGATGCTATTTTAAATGGAACTGTCTTCTTAATTTCATTTTCATATTGTTAGTTCATAGCATCTAGAAATACTAGGTTTTTGTATACTGATTTTATGACCTATAACCTTGCCTTATTTAATTTATTAGTTATAACTTTTTATATTGATTTTTTTTGATTTATAAGATCATTTCATCTGTGAATAGTGATGGCTTTACTTTTTCCTTTCAAATTTGGCTAACTTTTGTTTCTATTCTTATCTTGACTAGAATATTCAGTACAATGATAAAAATAAGTAGGAAAAGCAGACACCTCTATCTTGTTCCTGAAACTAGGAAGAGAATGCAATCTTTCATTATCAAGCATGATGTTACCTGTGGGTTTTATTAAAAAAATGTCCTTCATCTGGTACAGGAAATTCCCTCTATTTCTAATTTTTGAAGCATTTTTAAATAAATAAATTTTAAATTGCATAAGAACGAATAAATTACTGACTCATAAAGTAAAAATATCGAGTGAAGAAGCTAGAAACAAATATTCTAACTTTGTGATTCTCTTCATGAAAATTTTATAACAAATATAATATCTACTGAAGATCATCAAACTACAGCCAACAAGCTGAATATAGTTTGCATTATGATTTTGTGTAGCCTATAAGCTTAAATTTTAAAAATTTTAAATGGCTAAAAAAACATAAAATTTCATAAAGTGAACATTATACAAAATTTAAATTTCTATTTCTATAAAAGAAGTTTTATTGGAACATATCTTCATTTGTTGTTTAAATCTTACACATGACTACTTTCGAACCACATGTGCCCCACAAAGCTTAGAATATTTATTATGGCCTTAAAGAGTAAAATTTTCAATGCCTTATATCTGGTTTTCAGCTAAAGTGAGGGGTAAATAGGGAAGCCACAGGGAAGGGGCATAAGAAAACCTTCGGGAGCAATGGAAATATGTATCTTGATTGTGGTTAGGGTTACTTGTGTGTAAAAAATTTGTTAAATTTTGTTTTACTACACTTTAAACTACATGCGTTTACTGTGTATAAATGCAAAGCAGATCTAACAACATTTGAAAGCATGTGTTCTTTCACTGAGTTTCATCCCTAGCTTTTAACTGTTTTTTTTTTTTTTAATTTTTGTAGGGGAGAGGAGAAAATTGTGTAGTCTTATGTGGGATGGATAGCTGTCATTTGTGGCTGATCCTTCCTCATATATGTGACATGAATAGGTATCTCTTGGGGCTCTTCAGAGCTTGGCCTGTCCACGTACAGTTCTCATGATGACAGTGATACATGCTTTCTTCTTGCACTCACTGCTTTCTCCTCAGCTTTTTCTGCTGGAGACTGCTAATGCTCCCATGCAGTCTTGGAATTTTCAGCAGTCCCAGTTTGTCTAGAGGAAGAACATACATTATTTTTCTTGACCTCAGCTAGACTGCTAATAACTTCCTCAAGATAGCCCTTCCCATCTGTCCTGCCACTTCAGTTAATAGCCATAGCTACTCCTACCCAATTAATTCAGATTCCCCTCTATTATGCCACTGGATTCTAGGGGATAACTTCAAGCTCTTCAAAGAGTTCATGTGAAGTCCCTCATTAGGCTTTGTAAGAGGACAGCTAGCCACTTTCTTGGGAGGTCTATCCCATTTATAACTCTGAAATGGCTTTTTCTAATTCTTAGCAAATCTTCCTTTCTTGAGTTCATGTTTTTGTGATCATGTCAAGGTATATCCTGGTGTTATATCATAATTAAAAAGAATATAAGAAAGAAGAACACACACACACACCAAGTTGAGAAACTCTAACTATTTTAGTCTCCTCCTTGGAAAACATTCATATTGGTCTTACACTTAACTGTGGTTTGGTATGCAAGATTCATTGTGTTTTGGAGAATTGGTCAAAATACTGATATGATTATCTGATTATTTTTTTTGCAATTGCTAACCATTAGCATTCACATTGGAGTTCTATTGATATTTAAGAAAAAATAACAAAAAGTTGAATATTGGGAAAATTTGAATCAGCAGCTCATTTTTTACATGTTTGTCTAGTCTGTATTATTTTGTTTTTATCAGTTGATTGGTTTAGGTAGTTAATGGTGTACAAGTTTTCAATAAGGGTTTTTGAAAGGGCTATTGACATGATCAGCTTTGTCTCTTTAGAATATGTAATTTGGAGTATAAATGGTAACTTAGAAAAACTGAAGATAGGGCTGGGGTTGTGACTCAGTGGCAGAGCACTCTACTAGCAAGTGTGAGGCACTGGGTCCAATCCTTAGCACCACATATAAATAAATAAAATAAAGGTCTACTGACAACTAAAAAATATTAAAAAAACTGAAGATAGTTCTGATATATGGTTGTGTTTGTGCCAGTAAGAGATAGTGGATGGCAATACCCAAATGGTGCCTGTCAGAATGAAAAGGAGGGGTCATATGCAAAAGAGATGGTGTGTGTAGAAATTAGAGTCTACCAACTGATTGAATATTTGGCAAAATGCAATGTAAGGTTTGTGTCCTGAATAATCAGATTACTGCTCAATTGAGTTCATATGCAAATTGATCATGAGCAACTATTATGCAATGCAATATTTCTTTCAGTATGCTGAAATAATTACACTGGAAATGATCTCAGAAGCTTTGAAGAATGATTTTAGGGCAAAAAAGCATAACTATTTATAAAATATGTGGCTATATTTTGTTATTGTTTAGAGTAGTAAAAATAGTAGAAGTAATACCAGCATTTATCAAGAGCTGGATATGTCAATTATTTTAAAATGTTATTTCATTTAAATCTCATGTCAATCCTGAGAACTAAGTACTATTATTTTCCTTTTGTAGTTGAAGAAACTAAGCCTAGAAAGGTTAAGTAAATTTTCTAAGGTCACATTGGGATTGTAGAATACATTCTGAAGTTAAGCTGTTTATTCTGAAGTTTTTGCTATAATTCTTGAAACTCATTTCATTAAGTAGATGTACCAAATCAAAAATGGAAAGTGGCCTAGAGTTAGAGAAATACTTGGATCCATAGTAGATTTAAGATACCATCAAAGATTTTTAAAGAGTTTTGCAGAATTTTTAAATAAGCAGATTTTCATCCTTACAGATAAAAATAACTTATATGGCAGTCTTGTTTATGGAATGGCATGAGAAAACAACCTTATATAAAAATCAGGTAATAATAATAATGTCCCTGAAATATCATTGCATGTTTGTGTTGTAGAATACTCAGTATCATTTTGGTTTTGATTTACAGCCTGTACATGCAGTGGCCATGCAAATATTTGTCATCTGCACACAGGAAAATGTTTCTGCACGACTAAAGGAATAAAAGGTGATCAGTGCCAATTGTAAGTACAGATGATTTCTTAGAACTTATATGGATTGAATTTTTGTTATAGAATATGTTTATGTCACATATATTTGAAAAAATCATATTTCAACTGTAACAAGTATATGATTATAGGAAAACAATAAAGAAATCTTCAAAATTATAAATACACAAAAAGTTATATTTAAAGAATGTGTTAACCACAGAAAATATTTTATTTTTATTTAAATCAAATATATTATTGCTCTAGAATTATCATAAATGTCTCAAGTAGTATGATTATGTCTTTGATTAGCCACTCAAGGATCAGGGGTTTTCTAATTTAGAGCAGGTGAGCACAACCATTTTTTTCTTTCTTTTTTTTTTTTTGCCTTCTCCATAGTGTTTGAAGTTAAAAGTGAGGTCAATGCATTTTAGCTCTTAGGGCAGTTCCTACAAGGAAGGCAGTTTTGTTTTAAATCAGTGGATCTAAATCAGTCATATGCTCTGAGACAGAAGGATGCCTCCACTGTTTTGCAGCACTAAAACCTGATCGTCATAAACAGAGCCAACTTTATGGGTGTGGGGTCTGTGAATCTGCATAGTCCTGTGCTTAGACATCACACTTGGTTTAATGTTCTGCCATCACCATCTTTAAATTCTTAAGAAACGTTTACCAAGAACCCTACATTTACATTGTTTATTGTCCCCCCCCATTCTCTCAAATTATGTATCAGGTTTTGGTCATAAACAACGTTGTTTCTCTTGACCAAATTCTGTATTGATTGGATATAGTATACAGCAGTGAAAATAATTTCTGTATACCATATGAGCAGTACTGTAGTCACAGTACTATATATTGACAAATATATGAGTTTCTACCATAATAATAAAAACAATTTTTACTGAAATTTTACATGCATCATATAACCATATAACCATCCCTAATAGTATTCCTTTCTTAATGTGGTATATTAGTAACATTTTTGTTTCTAGATTTAAAAATAACAACCAGTAGTTTAATTCATTAGCTTATAATATTTATAATGGAGAGTTACATTGGTTTACATATATATGAAATTTAGAAAATATGTAGTTCTGAATGACAAGAGTACATTTTTATAAAGAGGAGATAAATGGAATACCAATGATGGGGGATGAATGATTCAGAGCTAGTTCAGCATGTTTATTATATAGTTTTTCATCAAAAGGTTATTTGAGGGAAAGTTTTGGCAATCTGAAGGGTACAGGGCTGGTGAGACATTAGGGTCACTTGTTATGCTTAGAATTCTCTATCCCTGGGAGTTGGTGCCTGAGCTCAAGATCCTGACTGATACAGCTCTAGGCCTTTGCAGGGAGCCTCCTCAGGCCAGCATCACCATAGCAACTGGGCCATCCTGATCTGCACCTTGGCAAGGAAGTTCCCAGTGCAAACACAGCCAAGAGGCAGACAGAGACCATGGTTTAAGTCACTGCTCTCCACGAATTATTCCAATGTGCTGTAGTATCATAATTATTGAGAATCTTAAGTGTGGTCACTTGGGATAATAACACATAGTTTGAAAAAGCACTAGTATTTATGTAGTAGCTTTAACACTTGAAAAGTATGAAGGTTACTAATCATAAAGGCTGTAAACTTGGCTGGCTTTTGTTAGCTGCTGAAAAGCCTTAAAGAAAGAGATTTTCATTAACTAAGGGCATGCTGTGAATATCAGCAGGTCTTCAATGATAGCATTTAAAGATTTTCATCTTCTGCAGCCAGAGGGCAGAATTTGTTGCTAATCATGCCCAGAATTTAATCATAAATTAAACTAAAGCCTCATTCATGACAGATTTTTTATGCCAAAGTCTGCCTGAAAAGAAGAATAGGACTTTGAGACCTTTAATGGGGATGCTCCTGAATATGACTTCAAAACTTGGAACCCTCAGCTTCTCCTGAAAAATACTAGTTGGAAGAAGAGTCTTTGTCTTTTGCTAGAATAGAGCAACTTCCCTTTCCCTGTACACAATGCAAAGTTTTACATGAAGGTTATTTTTCATAAGATGTTTGTCCTCTTCCAGAGCATCCTCTGCCCCTACTGTGGAATTTTTAAATAATAAAGGTTTGTTCAATTCATGGCTCTGGAGACTTGGAGGTCCAAGGTTGAAGGGACACATAATGTGAGGACCTTCTTATTTGTGGGGACTCTCTGCAGAGTTTCAGGATGGCACAGGGCATAACATGGTCAAAGTAGAAGGAACATACAAGAGACAGATTCAAACTGGTTTTTGTAACAGACTCACTCTTGAGATAATACATTAACCTATTGATCTGTTAATCCACAAATGGATTAATCCATTCATGAGGGCAGAGCCTTTATGACCTAATCATCTCTTAAGGGTCCCATTTCTTAATACTTCACAATGGAGATTAAATCTCACCATGAATTTTGGTAGGAACATTCAAACCATCGGAACCATTAAATAAGTATATTTCTGAAAGGTCTTTCAGGTATTTCCTTCATTAGGACAATGGGGAGTGAGTGCAATAGTAAGGGGAACTCCATAGTCTTTGAAACTCAGCTGTGGCTATTCTCTTTACTAATGTATAGTAGAATATGTTGCCCTAGTGTCAAAGGAAATGTCAGGGTTTCAGAAGAGTAGAGAATAGGTGACAGTATTTAACTCTTAAATATAGGTATAATTATCTTGATAGATGGCCACCAGAAGGTCTCGATTGGCAGGGATTTATGGTAATGACTAAGAGTTCTAAAGGATGAGGAAAATGTCTAGCAAATTAGATTATTATTTAGTTTTATCACCAGGAAAAAGCCCAAACCACTAGCCAGTAAGTACAACATTGATATCAGCTGCCCTAGTGGAAAACTAAGACCTTCACTCTGTGGATCTGACCTGGACCTTGATTTCTAGAGCCCATCAATTAAAGTGGAAGCTGGGTTCCTCTGAACGCAGCAATACATATGATGAATATTCCCCTGCTTTAATCTTCAATGGGACTGGAAGCTGTTTGGCCGAAAAACTGGCAATTGGAAAGGGAAACACACATTTATTTTCAAGGGCTGATGGATAAGACATTTGAATTGTTACTGTTCTTCAAAATAACATTAATTCAATTAAATTAAATATCTGTTTAAGTGAGTTGCAGTGGTATGCACCTATGGTCCCAGTTATTAAAGAGACTGAGGCAGGAGGATTGTTTGAGTTCAAGAGTTTAGGGCTATCCTGGGCAACATAGCAAGATTCTGTCTCTTTAAAAAAGTTGTTCAGTTGGGCTGGTGATGTGGCTCAAGTGGTAGCGCATGCGCAGGGCACTGGGTTCGATTCTCAGCACCTCATAAAAGTAAAATAAAGATGTTGTGTCTATCAAAAAAACTAAAAAATAAATAAATATTAAAAAAATTCTCTCTCTCTCTCTCTCTCTCTCTCTTAAAAAAAAAAGTTGTTCAGCCCCGTTAGTATGTATCTTAAGGCATTACATTAATATTTCAGATAATACTGTTCAGAAATTTTATGTTAACATTTAATGCATGTAAAAAGTGAAACAAAACATAAACCATGTTTCTGGATAAGCCTACCAAATAAACCTTGTCTCATACACTTTTTAAAATCTTAAACTTATTATTTAGCCAATGCAAAAAAGCATTAAAAATCGTCTATATTAATGGGGCACCATGCGATGTTTTGATACATGTATACATTGTATAATCAAATTAAACATGCCTATCTTCTCATTTATTGCTTCTGTTTGACAAAAGCTTTCAAAATCCTTTTATTTTGGCCGGGGGGGGGGCGGAGATGCAGTACACAGTCATTATTGGTAGTTACCCTATGGTGCAGTGGCATGCCAGAACTTCTTACTCCTCTCTAGGTTCCACTTAATTCCTATTAATAAAACTTTCCCTATTCCTCCCCGCTACTTTCCCAGTCTCTTGTAATTACCATTATATTTTCAATTTCTATGAGATCAAATTTTATTTATATGTCTTGTATGAGAGAGATTGTATGGTACTCGTCATTCTGTACCTTGCTTATTTCACTTATAGTGATCTCCAGTTATATCCATTTGTTTCAAATGATAGCATTTTATAATTTTTAGTTGCTGAAGACTATTTCATTGTGTATATATACCAAATTTTTCTTTATCTATTAATTTGATGGTTACATAGGTTGTTATCAGTTCTTGGCTATTGTGAATAGTGCTGCAAGGAATGTGGGATGTGTCTTCATCATGCTGATGTGTCTTTGACCTGCTGATTTCACTTCATTGAGTGTGTAGTCAGTAGTGGGATTGCTGAATCATATGGTAGTTGTATTTTTAATTTTTTGAGGCAATTGTATACTGTTTTCCACTGTCATTCTACTATTTACATTTCCACAAACAGTGTGCAAGGGTTCCCTTTATTCCACATTCCTATTCAGGACTTGTTATCATTAATGTTTTTGATAACAGGTATTCCTACTGGAATGCAGTGATATCTTAGTGTGGTTTTCATCTGTATTTCCCTGATGATTAATGATGTTGAGTATTTTTTCAAATTTGTGTTGGCCATTTGTCTGTTAAGGTCTATTGCCTATTTTTAACTGGATTATTTTTTTTTTTTGCTATTTAGTTTTTAGTTCCTTAAATTTTTTGAATATCAACCCCTTATCAGATGTGTAGTTTGCAAATATTTTCTCTCATTCTGTAGGTTGTGATTTCACACTGTTGATTGGTTCCTTTGCTCCTTCAAATCTTTTGCGTTTGATGTTATACCATTTTTCATTTTTGCTTCTGTTTCTGTGTTTTGGGGGTCTTTTCCAAAAAATCTTTGTCTATGCCAATTTCCTGAAGGGTTTTCTCTTTTCCTTCTAGTAGTTTCAGGGCTTGCATTTAAATCTATAGTTAATTTTGAGTTCCTTTTTTTAACTTGTGAAAGGTAGGGGTCTAGTTTCATTCTTCTGCCTTGGACACCCAATTTTTATTCAACGTATTTTTAATTACCAGAAAATATCTAATTTACACCAGAGTTACTTTGTTGAAGCAAAACATTAATTTATTAG